AACTACTACTGATATAGATGAAGAAGATATAGAATATGACTGAAAGTGATATACAAATAATAAAACAAAAGGAATATCAAGATGAGGAATCATATGAACAAAAAATAATTTTTGATAATAATATGTTTGAACAAATAAAAGGTAAAGAACTAGACTTAAGAGTAGATAAAATTCTAGACGTACCTATAATAAAAAATTAGTTTAAACGAAAAACAGAAGAATATTACATAATAAGTCAAAAAGAAAATATAAGAAAACACCTTATAGAACAAAATACAAGTATAAAAAACCTAGAAAAAGATACTACGTAAAAAATTATAAACATAAAAGACCACATAAACAAAAGAAAACTTTATCTGAATGTAAGTGTTATAATTGTGGAAAACTAGGACACATAGCTAAAAATTGTAAAATACCTAAAGATCCAAAGAAAAAACAAATAACTGAAATCATAATAGAAAATGATGACTATACCCAAATAGATTATATAGACTTTGAAATAGAAAGTGAAGATAGTATATATGAATTATCCGAAACTGAAACTACTACTGATATAGATGAAGAAGATATGGAATATGACTGAAACTGATATACAAATAATAAAACAAAAAGAATATCAAGATGAGGAATCATATGAACAAAAAATAATCTTTGATAATAATATGTTTGAACAAATAAGAGGTAAAGAACTAGACTTAAGAGTAGATAAAATTCTAGACGTACCTATAATAAAAAACTGGTTTAAACGAAAAACAGAAGAATATTACATAATAAGCCAAAAAGAAAATATAATAGACTGTAAATATACTAAAGGAAAAGCATATATACCAATCATAAATAAAAAGACGATAAATAAAGAAATTCATGATATAAAAGCTAAAAATCCAATTAAATATGTACACTTAGGAGGAACAGAAATATTAATTAAAGCATGTTTTAGAGAAGGAATAGATACACCTATAGAAATATATTTGGCAGATGATAGAATTATACAACCTATAGAAAAAAGTATAATTAGTGCAATAAAAGGAAATTTAATATACCAAAAATTTAAATTTATTATTAGTGCAAATTATTCGGTAGCAATAGAAGATAAAAACATAGATAAATCGTTAGTATTATACTGGAAAATGTCAGGAATAGAACTGGCACCAGGTAGTAAAATATTTACAGCAAGATGTAAAAACTTATACATCTTAACAACCCAACATAAAATAACTGCCAAAAATAAAATAAATAAAATAAAAATAGAAGACCCTTTTGACCAAATAGTTACTGTTATAGATAAAAATGACTATAGTTACAAGGAAATAGATATAGAAGAAGATTTAGAAATTGTTAGAGATAGAATAAATAAATCTAAAAGATTGAGTTATGAAACTCCATCATCATCTAGGACAAGTACATCCAGGAGATTAGAATATGATACCCCACAGGACATGATAATAGAAGAAATAAAATCACACCAATATTATATAACAGGAATAATGGACCAAAGAAAATACCTCATATTAATCAATATAGGACAAGAAGAAAACTACATCATGAGAGAACTAGTACAAGAAGAAGAAATAATTACAAAAGAAAAATTATGTCCAGAATTACCAAAAACATTAGTAAATACGGACGAATACACCCTTAAAGAATTAATTATAGGTGGAATACCAATACTAATAAAATTTAAAATATATAATGGAGATACAAAACTAACTTTAGGAATGCAATGGTTGGACAATGTTAAACCATATAATTTAGAAGATAAGCAACTAACAATAACTTATGAAGCTAAGAAAATCACAATAAAGCGAACAATAATAAACAATGACAAAAATTTATATATTAGTAAAAATTATAGTAGAAGGATATTACAATAGATATTATACACCAATGATAGATACAGGAGCAGAAGCTAATATGTGTAATCATAATTGTCTACCAGATAGTAAATGGGAAAAATTAAAAACACCTCTTATAGTTACAGGATTTAATAATGAAGGTAGCATGATAGAATATAAAGCTAAGAATATAAAAATCCAAATATGGGATAAAATACTACACATAGAAGAAATATATAGTTATGAATTTACAAATAAAAATATATTATTAGGAATGCCATTCTTAGAAAGACTATACCCACACACGATAACAAAAACACACTGGTGGTTTACTACCCCATGTAAACAAAAAATAGGAGCAAAACGAGTAAATAACAAAATAAGGAAACATACACCATGGATAAAAGGAAGTGAAAAAATTACCCAAAAACTAGAAAATATAACACCAAATACCCATAAAATAGAAATAATTATATTTTCAATAGATAAATTAAAAATGATAGAAGAAAAGTTAGAAAAATTATATAGTGAAAACCCCCTGCAAGGATGGGAAAAACACAAAACTAAGATAAAAATAGAACTTATAGATGAAAATAGTATAATAACCCAAAAACCCTTAAAATATAATTTTGATGACTTAAATGAATTTAAAATGCATATTACTGAATTAATAGAAAACGGATATATACAAGAAAGTAATAGTAAACATAATAGCCCAGCTTTTATAGTTAATAAACATAGTGAACAAAAAAGAGGAAAAAGTAGAATGGTAATTGATTATAGAAACTTAAATGCAAAAACTAAAACGTATAATTATCCAATACCAAATAAAATACTAAAAGTAAGACAAATACAAGGCTATAACTATTTTAGTAAATTTGACTGTAAATCAGGATTCTATCACCTAAAACTAGAAGAAGAATCTAAGCAATTAACAGCCTTTACAGTACCACAAGGATTTTATGAATGGAATGTATTACCCTTTGGATATAAAAATGCACCAGGTAGATACCAACATTTTATGGACAATTACTTTAATCAATTAGAAAATTGTATTGTATATATAGATGATATATTATTATTTTCTAAAACACAAGAAGAACATATTAAATTATTAGAAAAATTTATACACATTATAGAAATATCAGGAATAAGTTTAAGTAAAAAGAAAGCAGAAATAATGAAAACTCAAATAGAATTCTTAGGAATACAAATAGATAAAAATGGAATAAAAATGCAAACTCATATAGTACAAAAAATAATAAATTCAGAAGAAACCCTTGATACAAAAAAGAAACTACAATCCTTTTTAGGACTAGTTAACCAAGTACGAGAATATATCCCTAAACTAGCAGAAAATTTAAAACCATTACAGAAAAAATTAAAGAAAGATGTAGAATATCACTTTGATGATAAAGATAAATTACATATACAAAAAATAAAAACTATGTGTACTAAATTACCAAAACTATACTTCCCTGACGAAAACAGAGAATTTATATACATAGTTGAAACAGACTCAAGCAACCATAGTTATGGAGGAGTACTTAAATATAGATATATAAATGAAAAAATAGAGCACCATTGTAGATATCATTCAGGATCATATACTGAACCACAATTAAAATGGGAAATAAATAGGAAAGAATTATTTGCTTTATATAAATGTTTATTAGCCTTTGAACCATATATTGTGTATAGCAAATTTATTGTGAGAACAGATAATACTCAAGTTAAATGGTGGTTAACCAGAAAAGTACAGGACTCAGTTACGACAAAGGAAATACGAAGACTGGTATTGAATATTCAAAATTTTACATTCACAATAGAAGTAATAAAAACTGATAAGAATGTTATTGCAGATTACATATCAAGAGAAAGGTACACAGACAGATGATGTACCAGAAACAACTACTGGAGACATATATACAATCCTTTCCAAGTTATCTATACAAATAGATGGCATGGGAAGAAGATTGCAAAACCTAGAGGAAGCTAGTAGTCAGCAGCATGACTATAAAAATGCGGAGCTACAAAAAATAACTAGCAGTCAGCAGCATGACTTGAAAAATGCGGATCTAGAAGGAGACGTTGGGAAACTCCAAAAAACCCATAACAATGTTAATATTATTGATGCAGGAACTATTGCAAGCAGCTCATCTACGACGAGGTCACCTACAAAACCAAAAAATAAAAACCTCAATAAATTATTTGAAAAACCATATACAACAATACCAAAAAATCCAGTTACAGTACAACCCCAAACTACTACCTACTCAGAAAGCTTGAACCAAACCAAAAAGACATACAACCATATATCTCGTACCTATATAGAAAACATGTATAAACTACAAACATTTCTTAACCTAAACCCGAGATCCAGAAATACTACTGACCCAAAAAGAGATTATATTACTTCACACCTACAAAGACATAATAAACTCATTGCTTTACCAGGCACCAACCCAAACCTAGTAAATACTTGCTACAACTATGGATTACTAAGTACTGTATATACCTCTACAGGAGAAGAAATAGCAACTATGACGGAATTATATAAAGCATTTACTACGTATAAAAGAATTACCAAAGGAACATTTTTCTATATAAAATTCTATACTGCCCCAGCAGAAATACTATATGATGAGATAAAACCTATTATACAAGTTGTCAAGATTGGACTAACTAGAGAAATGATTATACCAGAGCAGATCGATATACAGCCCGAGATACCTAAGGAAGAGATACCTGACTTCTTTGCTAATAAAAGAATTATTGGACTAGCTACAATACTCAACGAGCTAACAAATACATTTCTGACTGAATCACCTATGTGGACATATTATTCGAGAGAGCAAACTATGGTTTATTCTCATTCAAAGGAGATCAGAGGCCAAGACATGGAAAATATAAGACAATGGATTATTAGTCTATTACAGCCAGAGGAAATACCAATCACAAGAGCTATAAAGAAAAATTTTATTTCAGAAAATTTATTATCACGATATTGCAAAATGATAGGACCTAGATACCAAGAACATAAATGCTCGAAATGTAATGGAGAAGATAATGTCATTCCAGAATTTAACATGGAGTAATTACTTGGAAGACTACTACTGCAAAAGAAGACAAAGGAAAATGACCGACAAAAGAAGAAAGAAGAAAATAAAGGATGCTACATCTACCAAATAAATGAGGAAGACAAAAAGATTGAAAAGAAGGAAAAACTACTGCAAAGAAACAAAAAGAAGAGATTGGAAAAGAAATACTGCAATAAATGAAGATGAGAAGTTAGCAAAAGGGAATTAAAGAAGGAGGAAGAAAAATACTACAAAGAAAGTGAAAGAAGAAGGAGACAATGAAGCTACTGCAAAGAAGTAGTTGAAGACAAAACAAAAGAAAGAAAAAGAGGAAGAGCAATAAATATTGAAGAAAAAGATCCTGCAAAGTAGAAGAAAAGCAAGGAAGAAAGAGACAAAGGAAGATACGTGAAAGCGACATAAAAAGACAGCTATGTAATAAAGCCAAAAATAGTATAGTATTTTGCTTTTTGATCTTTAATTTTCAATCGTCCAAGTGTAAAGAAAAGGACGGTTAACTTTTTACTTTTTTGACTTTTAATTAGAACCGCCCATCTGTAAAGTAGAAAGGGCAATTAGGACTTTTTGTTAATAGTTTTTTCATGTATAAATAGAAGAAGGCAGAGACGGAGGAAGTAAGCCCCAAGAAGCCTTCCACGGGCAAAACTCTCCTCACTTCTCTCCAATCCCTCTGACCCCCATCTTTGTACAAATACATATTTAAGAAATAAACTACTTTGTTCATACATGGAGCATATATCGCCAACTACTTCAAATACTACAGAGGAAAATCTACCAACAGAGGTAAATTCATTTATCATTATGAATAGCTAAACTTTTATATTCCTGATAATCTCTTAAATGTTATATTAGTTTAATCATGTTATAGTATTGTTTTATTGAACATCTTTAGTAAGTTTGCCATATGAGTAAGTAGGCTGAGAGTAGTCAAGCCCAGGCTATGCCGTCCTAAGGTGGAAACCGGAAAAGGCAAGGAGGCCGTGTTAAGGGGAGTACACAGTGTTGAGGCGCTGCTAGGGTAGATGATTAAAGCCGAAAAAAGTATGGTAGTGACTAAATGAGATGTTCATTATAACTTTAATATAATATGATAAAACTGGCATAACATATATAGAGATTAGAGGGAATAAATGTTTAGAATTAATGAAAATGGTGAATACTTATTTGTTAGATAACAATGAACAATATAAGATACTGGTACTATATATACTTAGAAAACTTAACAATGATGTTAAAGAAAAAATATTTGACTTATTAATTATGGAAGAAATAATAGAATCTACCGTACAACAATGGTATGATTTTGACATACTATATGATATAGATTTATATGACTCAGATATCTATTCAGATTAATGATAAATCAAGAATATTTAGAACGTTGGATAAATACTATGAAAAACCTAGATTTATTAGAAAAATTACTTATAGACAATATAACAAGTTATATTAGAACACAAGACATAGAATATTTAGATTTTATTAATGAAAACGTTATAGAAATGAAAAGATTAATACCACTAAAACATGAATACCATGAAAAAGCCTTCCCTAAAAATTAATACTTAACAAAATGAATTCCGCACCCCCACAATGTACTTAACAAAATGAATTCCGCACCCCCACAATGGTATCAGAGCTATTTATTAAAAAAGAAAATATATATTATATTATATAATATATATGTTGAGTAGTATTTAAAATAGAATATTAAGAAT